GGCTATACACAGGGTGACCCTGAACCTTTACTAATTACAATATGTAAAATAGCATGAGTCATTGAGACTGATGACAGATGACAAAGATAAACCCTTAAAAACTAGCCTACTGGTCTCACTCAAAGAATGAAGGAAAGGTGCAGTAGATTTAGGCAGTAGAGTCACTGATATCAAGTCACTGATGTCAAATCTTGAAATAAAGATGCAAGAAAGGAATTGGAGAGATCAAAAGCAGAAAACAAAAATTCAGAGCTGGAATGAAGCTTACACGATCTCAGATGAACAAATGACTAATTACAAGGATCAAAAGAGTGACTGCCTGAAGGATTAGAGAATTGATAAAAAAGTTAAAAATGAAAGAGTGCACTAAGGATTTTTCCTGCCCATGTAAAAGCTTTGAAAGTTATTTAAAAATGTCTATGTCCCAGACAAAGGATAGCATGCCAGGACAGTGCACAACATGCATATCCAGCTCACAGAATCACAGAATCATTCAGGTTGGAAAAGACCCTCTGGATCATCAAGTCCAACCATCAGCCCTACTCTACAAAGTTCTCCCCTACATCATATCCCCCAGCATCTCATCTCCTCTCATCCCCTCTCCTGTTCCCCTCTGTTGCCAGTCCCTTGCCCATTCCTAAACCATTCAGCTTTGTAAGCACTGGCTCTGTTAAATCCAACCCACCCCAGAAAAACACCTGTCTGCAGTGCTCCCTCCCCCTCCTCGGCCAAATCCCTCAAGTTTTAACTGCCAGAAGGTGACTTGGCTGTGCTGTTGCCATGTCCCAGGGGCTTCCCGGCCGCAGAAAAGGCCCCTTCCTCCTCCTCCTCCTCATTTTGGAGTTTAAGGGGGGGTTCGCCCGCTCGGCGATGTGGCAGCCCACCGCGGCCTCCGCCACCGGCAGCACCCGGCCCCCGCGGGGGCAACGTGCGGCTCCAGGCAAAACGCTTCCCTGTGTTCAGAGGTTAAACGGTCCCGCCGCACAGAGGTCCTGTGTGACACGGACACTCGAGACCTGAAATGTTGTTTCACGACTTTTCTAGAGCAGCCATCTTCAGCACCTCGCAGCAGCAATCCCTGTAGCTCCTGCGCTAACGGCTGGAATTACTGTGCTTGAAAGGGTGGTGAATGCACAACACAACTGTCAGACGAGACCCAGCTACAGCAAAACTACCTCTCCTCCTCCCACCTGTGCTGTTCTGCTCAGCACACGGCAGTGGCCAGACAGTGACTCATCCGATAGGGATACATTAATTATCACTTTTTGATAACGTTGATTAAACAGAGCAGAATATAACCTTTTCATTAACTGCAACCTCTCCAAACAGATCCATTTCACTTTTTCCTTCCTGACCTCTTGTTATTTTTCTCCCCTGGAAATTCCTTCTTGACATGCATACTCCTCGCCTCCCAAGCGTTCTTCATTGCTGTCCTGAGGCTTTGACCCTGCTCGCTTTTCATTCCTCTGTATATTTTTCTGCTCCCGAGTTTTCTTCATGTTTCTTGGCATCATCTTTCCACTCAATTCTTTCCTTGTCTTTCCTGGCCTTTCCAGCCTTTTCCTCTGATATAACAGATGTGGAGCTCTTTTCTAAAATGTTTACAACTTCTGGTTTTTATTTTCATCTCCTTTTCCTCATTATTTTTATGAATCATGTCCTGCAAAAGGCAAGGTTTGAGCCTCATGCAGCAAATATCGTACTACGTTTTTAAAGAATGCACTTAATAAATATATAGTTGGCATATTGTTAGCACAGGAAGGTAATTTTGGTCCAAATTCAGCTGCCAAGGTAACAAACATATGAGAACAGGTCGGCCTTTGCTGTCGTTGTGGTAGTAGGAAGGCTGTTACCAGAATAGAGGATAAAGATACAAGCTGGTATAGTCGGATAAAACAAGTCTGTGGGACTGACAGCCTGTGTGTTACAGGTACTCTTGGCTCCACATTTCTTTGCTTATTGAGGGAAAATCATCCTTCTAGCCCCAGATGCTTTGGGGAGATAGTTGCAAAGGGCATGTGTTACACTGATGTCCAAAAACAAGCAAGGAAGGAATAGCATTTTCCATTTGACCAGCTTATATAGCTACATAAACCAGCCAGTCTCCTGAGCACGCAGGTCCTTCTTCCAACGTGAATTACCTGCAGCAGTTTAATATTTCACGAAACATTTATCTGTGCTTATTATATACTAAATATAAATGAAAACATAAAAGGAACAGTGTTTGAATGTTTGAAGACTACATACTATTTTCCCACCTGCTTTCCAAGAGAAAAAGTTCCACAATCTGCTCTTTTTCATATTTGATTTTTATCACGCAGCCTTGACATGAATTTAGTAACCAAAGGAGTCTATTGTTGCTGGCTGAGTGTTTGAAATGTACAGGCTCCAGATAGTTAAGGAGTTCCGTGTGTAACTGGCATAGAAAAAAGAGCAATATGATATGTCCTGCTGATTTTTAACTCCTGAAACCTATTTTCAATTTTTGCCAAAATCAAGAGTCATGGAACACTTAGGAACTTGAAGGCTTGAGATTATTAAGGTGGAAATGGTTGCTGTGGGATGACTCGACCATTGAGATTAACTGGGCCTGCTCCAGCCTGCAGCAAATCAATTACCTTCAGGCTGTTTTATTTTATTAAAACTCTTCAGGCAATTTATTTCAAAAGGTATGGCACACAGAGCCTGATTACAAAGGCACGTACTACTAAACTAAACAACTCTAAAGATTTTGAAAGTTGTTATTAGAATGCAAAACCAGAACATCACATTCTTAAATGTAAAGGTGCTCATATTCAGCAACTATGAAAGAAAACCATCAACGCTACTTCAAAAGAGCTGCAGTAGAGCAGTACACCTCTAAAAATAAAATGTCACTTGCTTCAATCTGTTGAAGACACAAGCAGTAAGAAATAAACCTTGGGTTTATATCATCACAGAAGTTGCATATTTCCAACACCACATTTCATACAGAGTAGCTCATTACTAGTCCTGCAAATCACAGCGGAAGGAGTGATCCCAGTAAGCCCTCACATACCTTGCTGTTCACATCAGAAAGGGGAGGGGGGAAATGTGGTAACTCTGAAAAGTAAATATGATTTCTCTGAACCCTCGGGGGTGCTGAAGGATATATACTAGGCCACAGGAGAGACACTGTCTTAATAAACTTATCCAAACTTCTTTTGTCCAGGGACAGCAAAATCCCTAAAATGTTGCTCCACAGTTTTCCTCTGTCCCAGGACAAAGCACATCCTGGAACACAGCATTCCTGTTTCTGCTAGGTCTTCCCGATCTCTCTGACCACACGTTTTCCATGATCACTGGACTGTCTCTTCATATTTCCAAACCACCCTGACAGATATCAGCAACTTCAGGCTGCTGAGTTGGATGGTGGTTGTGACACACTGTCAACAGAGATAACTCAGTCTTCAGGTATCAGGCCCTGCTAATAAAACACATTGCCTTGGCCGTTCTTATATATTCTCTAGAAGTATTTGTTCCTCAAGACACTGGACATGCACCATCACCAGACAGTTGAGAGCTTGCTTTCTTTTCCTCCACTCATTCTCAGCTCCTGCACTCTTTCTTGCTACCAGTTCTCTCACTCTTCCTCTTGCCTCAAGAGAAACCTTCACTTGCAGTTTATTACCAATACTAACCCCTTCTGCCTCCCAAGATGATGTGAATAAGAGTGCCCGTAGATAAGTCCCTTTTTATACCTATAATAATGTTTCTTGTACTGCTCTGCTTTGTTCCAGTGGCACTGCTTCAGAGCATATTCTGCAGATTTTGTGTCAAGGCTGCCATTGCCACCTACCACAGGGCTTTGCTTCAGCGAAGTTTGTGTTGATCCCCCACACTTTCACACATTCTGCAGCAGACTTAATAATAGCAGGACTGCATTGTAGCAAGTTAGGGAACTTCAGGCTCCCTTTCCTTGGTTTATTTAATCCGAGGTTAGCATGCAATGAAGGCATAATATAGAAAATATGTCTCTTCAGCAAACAATTGTGTGGTTGCTGCCTGGTTAGACGTACTCAACCTAGCATTAAACTAGCCATTTTGAGTGCTGACAGCAGCATATCTGCAGCAGCGTAGAGCTCAGAGCCACAGGTAACTCACCAGGCAATTAGAGCATTTTGAGCTCCATACCATATGGCCATATCTAACTTAACTCATTATTAATCCTACTTGAGCTTCAGTCACAGAGCAGACAAATTCTTACCCAAAGAAAGAACTCTATGAGAACAGAACTAGTTGGGACTTCTTGTGAAGACCAGGCTGAATAGAAGTGCAGAAGGCTAAAGAGTCTCTTAAGGCAGAAGTAAAGAAGCAGGATTGCCCTCAGACTTTGTACACGGAGGAATCTGACTGGAAAAAACAGAAGAACGTAGTGGCAAACAAGTTATAGTGTGCAACTTGTCCTATTTAACAGCTCTGTGGGGTCAGTTCTCTGTCTGCAGGATACAAACATGCTCCCCTGAGTTAACTCCTTTAAACGTGCATTGCCTGTATTCTGAAGAGGGAAAAATATGCTCCTGGTGAGTTAGTAATACAGCAATCTGATCTCTACTTGCACATTTCTGTTCAGATCTACTTTCTCTCACTTTTAAAATTGCAGTTGCATTTTAACTATATATGTATGTAACTATATAGAACTGGAGCAATTGCAGCTGTATTTTAACTTTATATAAAACTAATTATAACTGGAGCATCTATGTCTGTATGGCTAACTTCTTATATGAGCAAAAGCTTGTTTCTACTAGAAACAAATGAGAACAACTTACCCAGCTTGCCTACCCTGGCAACAAAAAAAATCACATTTTCAGAATGAGAGGTCCTGAAGACCCTTCTTTCTTTGACACAGAAATTACCTCCTTGATTTCTGTAAAGGTGGTGATTGTAAGTCTCAAACTGCAGGCTGCCACAATAACACGAATAACATTAGTGACTCAGAAAACCTGATTATTCTCCACCAGACATTTTCTGATTTCTTGGCTTTCAGTTTCCAGTACCATTTTTATGCTACCTTAAATGATTCCCTGAAGCTCTGAAAAAAAAAAAAAAAAAAAAGTATGCTGGTAACCTCACAGATCTAACATATCTCGTTACCTTTCCTTCCTTGCTGCAGACAGAACGATCAGAGCAGCACAGCCATCCACTTGCCCTGTTGAGCAGCTGATTGGGAGATTTGCCAAATGCCCCCTCTTACAGCATGGAGTGTGATCATCTCCTCCCAACTGGGGCCTGGAATGTTTTTGTAATTCTTCACCATTCTGAGGACTTTTAACTCCTCTGCACGATATAATCTGCTTACAGCTTTCAAAATTAAGATCTCTTGCTGTACGCTCCACGTTCTCACTGTGTGGCGTTTGGCCGCAGCGAGTAGTCATGCTAATTTGGCATAGATGCCATGATTCCCAGCCACAGCAACTGCATCTCGTTATGCTTCTATTTGGAGGAGCAAATTATAAAGCAAGTTATTGGAGGACCACAGAACTCATTATTAAAAGCAGAAGTGATGGATCCAGCTTACCCTAACCTGATTTACTAGCCACCGTGGTTTTGCTACAATTTTTGCAGAGTCAATGTTTAGCTGGTGTGTCTCTAGCTGCTGCCAAAAGATGCATCAGAACATACAGAGGAAAGAGTTTGCAGCGATAAGCAGAAGCTAAGTGACAACAACAGAACAGGATCATATGAACATGGGCTGAGCTATTGTATTTCACAGCAGATGCCCTCTATGAGAGACTGGGAATATGGACACCATTTATGGTGGAAATACGGGAAGGCAGCAATGGACTTAGAAACATGGGAAAAGCAATGACCTGAAAGTGCTCAGAGAATACCTTTTCAGTTAACAACTGGCAGAGCAGCCAGATGTGATAAAGAGTAGGGTCCTGAAATATGTTGCCATATCAAAGTCAGTAAACTTATGCTGCTCGAGATTTACTGGCAAATCTGCTTTGGCAAGAGAGTGAGAGAAGCTTGTGGACCACTGTGAAATCCTTACAGACAGCTATATCAGAAATAGGCAGTGTTTAAGTTTGTGTGTTCAGATGTTAGCAAGTTTGTTCCTGTTTCACCCTTTGCTTACCTTGATATTCATGTCAGTGGGGATTTCAGTATATCTTTACTGCCCTGGTTAATGAAGGTAGGGAAGAGGCAGATTAATTGCCCACAGACAGTGATAGAAAGTACCTTTGGCAAACTAAGCAAAATGGCAGACCGGCACAAAGGCAAGATGATCCTACACATCAAACACCCCTTAAATAGCAAACAAAGCCATGACTTGGGAACGTTGTTTGCTTCCTGTATATGACTGAGAAAAGGTGAATTATGTGTGACAAAGTGACTAACATGGTCATTTTGATGGCTACAGGGCATTCCTTCTTCATAAATCTGGTCTTTTTGCCATAGACCTTATCAAGAGGAAAAAAAAATGATGCTGAGGCTACAAACTCTTTAAATTATACCCACACATACCTAAAAATGTAATACAAATTTTACACACAAAAATTTTGAAAATCCCTTATGGACAGTCCTTGTTGGTGACTAATAGCAACAGTTTATGTCTTCCTCATCTCCTTCTTCAACCTTTTAACTTTTTGATCATCTGTCTCAAATCATGATCCTGACTATTTGTGTGCTTTCATTACATATTCCGAGTCCTTACTAATAACCGCACTGAAATCAGCCTTTAAAGACCGTGTTCCCAAAACATCCCGTAACTGTTTGCCAGTGTCACACAACTTGATGGAATTCATCCCTTCCTTTCTATTTCCCATGTGGAAATATAGTTCATTTGTAGGCATCATGGTTTTACACTACCTATTCGGCTTTTCCCCCTTAATTTTTCACATCAACACTCTAGTCTCTTGGACTGCTATGAAACAAGGAGTGATCTTTCAGGTGGAATAACGCGTTTGCCTGTGTCGCATCAGCTGTGCTGACAAACAGGTACAGCTATGGCCCACTTTGGAGTGTATTTTTGAGGTCACAGTGCCCTCTACTGTCTGAGGCATCCTCTCCTACATCATCTTGGTTAAAAAAACAGGATGCCAGGTATTTTTATATACTCACTAAAAAGAGCAATTTTTTTTTTTCTTCCCCAGAATTAGCACATTTATTTCTGTTTCAAGATACACTTTCATCTAGACTAACTGGCCAAATATGGGCTGTTCGATTCAACAGAAAACAGGTTGGCGAGGGCATAGTCGTTTCTTGCTGACTGTAAGGCTGCTTTGCCAGAGTCCCTGCTAATTTAAATTAAACCACTGATCTGTGCAGAGCTTGAATCACACCTGACTTGTAAGTGTTGAGTAATTCCACATAAGGAAGCGCTCTGACATACATGCAAAGTAAGAACAACCAGGCCTGTGTTTCAAGTACAAATTGTAAATACATCTGCCACAGATTCATATTGCTCCTGGTGATCATTCCAACCATGCAGATGCAAATCACCTATTACATATGGAGATGTTCTTTACAAACTCCTCTCCTCTTTGTGTTTGCCTTCACCATCTCTCTTCAGGAGTGATGTGGGGTTCCGTAGGTGGTTTCACTCCCCTGTGGGTGTCCCCTGGAGCACCAACATCTTGCAAGTGAGCCTGAGACTGTCCCTGTCCTGCCAACCCATCCCTCACAAGTAACCACAGACCCCTTGTGACACTCCTCCTCTCACCCCAAAGCCCCATTTACCTTCGCACAAGAGGTGGGATGCTCTGCTTACCCTAACCCTACCATTAGAAAATTCTACTTGCTTATGATTTCAGCAAAGAGAATTCAAATAGAAAGACGCATCTACAGCCAACAAAAATTTTTAGCCTGGCCCACTTCATAAGAAGCATGCAGCAGATAGCACTGAAAAGGTTATGTGGGGGGTGTGTGTGAATGTGTCTTTTAAAAAATACTGTTCGTTTCATATTCTGAAATTTTTTTAGCCTGACAGAACAACGCATTATGTTCAGAGAGCAGCAGCTGGCTTATTGTTTCATGAGGCAGGTGCAACCACTCCAGCTCCTCAAGGTGCTACAACTTGTTTCCCAGTAGGGGATCTTGTAGCATGATTCCCTGTAGCATGATACGTAGGCGTTCAGACGATTTTTCCTTCTGGAGAGATTACATTCATAATATATATCAATGTACATATTAATGATGGAGTGAAGCCTGAATATAGTACATCATTCATTTTCTCATGTTAGTCTGATAGCAAAATGAGGAGAGTTCACTAAACAATGCACATACTCATACATATATAAGTGTGTGTGTGTTTGCATGCATGTGTGTATAAAAAGTATCTATAAAATACTAAAAATCAAACAGTGCTGCTGGGCATGGAAGGCATATTTCAAACATAGCAGATGTACTTGTCTTTATCTAGCCATTTTTTCCATGCAACTGTCACATCATAATGTCGCAGATAATTTCACTGATAGTGAGAAGAGCTGAGGCTCCAGAATGAGCCTCAGGGCTGCACTGCAAGGAAACTGTGGCCCACTTGTAATCCTGGGTTTCTCTGAAGAAATTCTTCACAGGAAGTATGCTTTTAAAATTACCACTTAATGGAAGGAGAAAAGGATGTCAAAGAGCAGAAGAGTATGCTGTGTAGGGTGAATACTTAGAGCTGGTTTTGGGTGCAAGAACACACTGTTGGGATCATGCAGGGGAGCAGAGAAATGCAGAACGACTACCAGGAAAAGGCGATAAAGTTTTAAAAAATGTTTTCTTTTTAGAAGGGTTTCCCTTTTCGCATGTGCTGAGGCAACACTTGGAAAAATTCTACTCACTTTTTGAACAGAAAGAGCTTCATTGCCCACTAACAACTCACAGACTACCTGTACCAGGTTTAAAGTAACTTCATGTTTACATGACGTATGCATATGCAGAAGTACATTTTGCAAGTAGCATGAAACCTCTGCATTTCAGCTGTCACTATAAGCCTTATTGCCAGCACTTTTAGAAAAATTGCAGAAGAAAGAATGTAAAATAAATTATGATGGTCTTAACTTTATGGTAAACTGATAAAAAAAATCTCTTACATCATAGTGAAATCAGTCAACAGTGTTGTACAGCTGTGGAAAACCAAAATGTTACACTGGTGTATGTGAAAAGGAGTTTCATATCTCACTCATGAAGTCATCTATTGACTCTGGTTAGTACTGGTGAGATCTCAGTTAAAGGAATGTGTCTGATAGTGAGCACTGCACTTCAGGAAAGATGTGGACCCACTGAAGGATAAGGATTTTTCCTAATCGCCTTTATCCCTTACTGTCATTTTTATTTTACATCAGCCATGGTAGTTGCAAAGTAGATTTCCCCCCAACAAACACATGCACAGCAGAAAACCCTCTTGAAGTCTACACAAGGAGGATGTGAAAAATAATATGGAAAAGAGTAATTAGAGTCAATGTAATATCAGTTTTCACATAGGCAAAAGGTTGCTACAAGAAGAGACAGAAGCATTGGATAAGGACTGAAGGGCTAAAATTACAATCTGGGTCAGGTTAGACCTTAGGGCCAATTTCTAAGGAAAGAATAGTTAAGCATCAGACTCTTTAAAGGACCTCTGGAATCTCCATTGTTGGAGGCTCTTAAAAGCAAATAAGATAAACATCTTTCAGAGGTGGTTTAATTATAAACTGATCTTGGCTTGAGCCAAGGAGATGATCCCCAAAGATCCCTTCCTGCCCTACTTTTTATTATATACCTGCTAATACTTCACCACTGAGTCTTTATGAAAAAAATTCATCCCAAGTATCCCCTGGCCCAGCTGCGAGCTAGAGACCACCCAGCTCCTAATATACTGAGGAAAATGCTACTTTTACCCTGCACTGCCATTCCATGTTTGTTTGTCATGAAGGTTCCATGAAATGCAGAGCTTATCAGCCTTCTACAATGAAATATATGGCAGCGCCTTCATATTTTGCCCACACCTGAAAGACTAACAGAAGAAAAAGAACTCTGGAAGCAGAAGAGTAAGACCAAACCTGTAACATTTGCTTGGGCTTTTGTTTTCGGGAGGGGGAGCAGAAGAAAGAGGAAACACTGAGTTTGCAGTTGAAAAGTAGCTTGGGTCTTAAAGAGACACCTGAGTTTCACTAATGGGTCTGCCACAGATCTACTTTGTAAGTCCAGTGTATGATCTAAAACGAGGCAATAACGAGGCAGGAGGGGAGTTGTGACAAGAATTTATTAGTAGCATTGAGAACAGGGACTGTGGAACAAAGATAGTATGTGGAACAAGACTGGAGAGGAGCAGGCAATAAATGAGGAAGAAAATGAAAAGTCAGAAGACAAAGAAGGGAAGAGGGAGCAAATGTCATACTGGAAAATAACCTTAAATGTGCAAGTGCAACAGAGGCTTAACTCCAACAAAGTTTATGCTATTTTCAGTGTTTCATGTATTTTTTTTTAAGGAGTGATATGGGTAGAAAGGAAATGCCTAAATGCAGGAGAGGATATTGGTCCTAGAACCTGGATTCCCTGACCTGCTGCTTATAGTAGGTTAGAGGCCCTGAGGTCTCACGTTTCTGAAACAGTGCATAAAAACTCAGTCAGTCATAATTAAATTTTTCATGTAATTTGAGATTGAGAAGACATCGTTATATATACATTCTCTATGCCTGGATACAATAAATGTTGCTTTCCCATGGAATGATATTCACTCTATTGCCCACATTCAAGGCGTATCTCTCATATGATGGATTTTTGCTACTTTCCTGTCTTGAACTGACTCTGGAGGTCTCTTCCTCCTCAGAGCTTCCACAAATAAGTCTCTAAGGTCTCATGGAGCAGATGTTTCTGGTTCTTTCCCATTTCATTAGGGAGTCCAGCTGAGACATTCTGATCCTCCAGCAGAGACTGTATTTGTGCCTTTCAGGGGATGAATCCATTTCTCTACTGGAATATAGAATCCAAAATCATGAAGATTAAATATGAAAATAAGTCCTTAAGCTCATTATTTTTACTCAGTTATCTACATAAACAAGCCTCTATACTAGTATGTGCATATACAAGTTTGTTTAATTATACCAAAATCGCTTCACTATTTAGCTAATTTCAACTTAATTCAGTGGTCACACTTTACAATAGTAGAGTGTGGGTTTTGTATTTGCATGGCTTCTGCACTAATAACAATTTAGATCTATGCAGACAGTGGAAGGAAGAGAGGACAAAATGCTGAGACCACTGCAAGAGAATAAATCACAAGGTCTCTTTAAAGCTCACTGTCAGCATGCTGTCTGAGACTCAAAGTGAAGGTCTGCAAACATATGAAAATTATTGCCACAAAAGAAAATACATGCATCTTTATGCAAACATGCGATCTACATAGTTTTGCCCTGAGTAAGGTGTTAGGTGGGGCACACTTACCCGGTTCAGCAACAGCAAGTCCTGAACAACTACTCAGTTACACAACTCCGGTGTGGAAAGAAAGCTTTAAGTGGGTGCAGACATCTGCTTTAAGCCTTGTGAGGCTTCCTGAGCATTATAAATTGGCTTTTGTGTAAATGAAAATCAGGCTGTGTATTTTCTGCCTGGTATGATGTTGAGTACGTGTTCCAAAAGTATTTAAAGATAACCTCTTTGTTAAGGTATGTACCAGTATACTTGTTTTGTGTACCAGGGAGAAATTAGTAGTGTATGTGGATATGAGCTAATTATTTTCTCTTGTTCACATAGCATTTATTACAGACAACACTAATATTTGCTGAAAATAAGAGAGAAAAAAAAAATCTTACCATCCATAATCCAAAAAGACATTACAGTTTACAACTGCCTGGATACCATCCAACCAGTAAGTAGAAAACAAACAAAACTACTGAGATAAAAACAAACCAGAGAAAAGCCTAATCAACTCAGGAAACATAAATAGATGGCTGATGCAGGCCAGCACCCTTTCACTCGCCATGTGGAATTTTGCACCTGAGGACCTGGCAGAAAATCCAAGAAGATCTACTCAAGGCAGACTGTAGGTTACATATGGTGTAAGAAAAAAAAAAAAAAAAAAAAG